TATGTGGTTGTGATTGCCTAAAATTGCATGAAGGCAAGTACAAGGACTAATTGTAGGTGTATTTGTGTATTCTAGGAAATCGGAGCCGTAATTAGAGCATTTTGATTGTGCTTAGAGCTTAAATTAGAGAAGAATCAGGATTGCCCCTTCGTACGAGCTCAATACGCTTGTACTCCGGTCATACGCGCACAAGCTGAGCGTTGTAGAGGGGAATACGCACGTATTAGCAACGTACGCGGACATCCAGAATGGATTACAAACGTGCATACACGCGTATGACTCTCGTACTGGCTTAGAAGATTTGTGTATAAATTGTAGGTTAAAGGAGTTGATAATGACATCTTTGCCACTTTTACTTCCTTTTAGTTACTTGCACTTTATTGTACTTCAATTTTGGTAACGAGAGAGAGCACTAGGGTTCTAGGTTAAATTGACACATTGCTTTGGGATCTTGGAGAACTCTTTCCTCATTGTTGAAGATTTGATTGTTGGATTGTAAATTGTAATTGAGCTAAGTTACGTTGTTTTCCTCTAATTTCATTTCAATTCATTCCATTGTTCCATCTCATTTGCTCAATTGTGATTTATGTTTAACCTAGAATAATGTGTGACTAAATTTCTTAGGGAATTGGATTAAGATTTACTTTAGATGATGCATGTATGATTTGAATTTCAATTAGGAAGTAATTATGCATTAATTGCTACAGATTCTTGTTGGAAGTGGATTCTTGTATAGACTATTGGATGGTTAGGGCCCAACCATATAAGAGGTCTAGAAGGTGTATATATAGTTGCCAAGAGATTGGGACTATACTATAGCCTACTCCACTTGAAATTCCCTCCTTATTTCGAGAGGTGGAGCTCAAAAGAAGATGTGGACACAACATGTTTGATAAAATGATTCAAGTAGTAAGGTGGTTACTAGGGACTTCTAGGGTAAGATTATACTACTTAATAGGCCAAGGAGATCGGTATTCGACATTGGCAATGGATAACATCTTATTTGAATCCCAATTAGTGCATAATATACTTCATACCTAGGAGTCTACATTGCACCTAAGCAAGGAAAACTTAATCCAAGTTGCCTTTGCCTCCTTTATTTGTTGTTGAATTGTGCTCTTTGCTCTCAATTGCGTTGTTTCTTTTACTTGATTGCTCTCTTGCTTGTTACTTCACTGATGCTCTTTTCCAAAGCTTTGAGACCTAGCTTCGTGTGGCATTTGTACACTTGTGCTTGACCATGCATTGTTCACCTCTCACGTGCCATATATCTTTGAGAGACGACATCCTGGGGAAGATTCATTTTGCTCAACCTTCTTTCCATCCACCACTTTCTACAAATTTGTCAATTAGTCTAAATATTTTCTTATAAAAGTATTTATAGCAACATGCAAACCCCGTAACTATAGTAGTCGAAAAGTTGCTTGGTATTCATAGCAGCCGAAAAGTAGCTTGGTATTCATAGTAGCCGAAAAGTAGCTTGGTATTTCAGACTTTATCACTTTTCAAATGGTAATTCTGTCATCATAGCAACAGTTTCAAGCATCAGATGCAATTCTTCTGGTGGCAAAGGATGTTGTTGAGAGGACAACCTTAGATTGATAAAAAACTTGTATTTTATGTTTATGATATACAATATTGGTGTTCAAACCTCCTATGTAATTGTTCATTAGCCTTAAATTTATGTCCTTGAAATTGTTTTGGGAGTTTTAATCAATAATATATTCCTTTTTTTTTTGTATTTATAGTTTTTAATATAGATTTTGATGGAAATTTATAGTATTACAGAACACAAGCACTTTTTCCAACAGATTTAACATACAATAATAATTTTAAGGTTGTCTTGGTTCACAATCCACAAGATAATTCCAAGCAATAATTCTAGAGTCAATGAAGCTCGGTATTGCAATTTTTATATCTACCTTGCTAAAGTAGATACGACGATGATATATTGTTGAGCACCTTCTTCACACATACGAAGTCGCACTAACCTATATAGATATGCAAATGAACTTGTAGGAAGTAAAGTTTGGAAATACCTAATAATAATCCTACGAAAAGGATTATTATTTTTTTATGGAAAAAACTGGGAAGGACGAATGAATGATTCGGGTTGGTGGTTAGCAGGAGTCGAGCGAAACACTCTTACCTTAAAACTTTATTTGCTACCTCCCAAAAGTGCTAGGAGCGTTGTAGCCTAGGTTTCCCAGGATAAAACGTACTACGGTTCAATTGTTTGAGCGCCCAAATAAAGAACTCAGCGAACTAGAGCAAAGCTGCAAAGGGATGAACACAGTAGGCAAGAAAGGAGTAGAAGCATAATTTCAAGAGAGCAAAGCTGCAAATGGATGAACACAGTAGGCAAGAAAGGAGTAGAAGCAGAATTTCGAGAGAGAAAACAATAGGATATCAGTAGCTTTTAACATGGGGGCGCAAGCAAGAGAACCTCTATGCTATACAATTCAATAAGCTTTAGAAAGGCTATTGTATAAATAGTGGTGCAAACCCGCTTCCCAAACCAATGTTTGACAAAAGCTACTTTAAAGCTTTTTCCCTTCATTTTCCAACTCAAATGGGTCTACTTTGAGAATCAATTTCTCATTCACCCATTATCCATTTTGAGCATACAATATATCAATCTCTTCGTCTTACTACGAAGAACCCGAATCCACTTTGACCCAATCCAAATCGGAAGTGGACCCCACTAATAATTGTACCACAAAATAGCCACTTATTATGTCATTATAAGCTATTTTTTTCAACAGAACTAACCACTTGCACACAGACACACAAAGACACACACACACACACACACAAGTAAAATAAGAGCAATAAACATTGTAAAGATTTTTATATCAGATTACACATTTTTTTGTGATTCTAAATTTAACAAATCTTATAAGGTGACAAGAAAATGATATTTTTGTTAGTGTATTTACATAGAATAATCTTCACTTTCACCTCATCCATCCTGTCTTGTATTCCTCCATATTCTTTTATGCAGAATAATCTTATCTAGTTGATAAGTGCTTATTTGTCTATATTTTTCTCCATTTTTCTAAGTCATTTTGCATATAGATCATTCCAAATTTCATGAGATTGGGACTAAATTGTGTTATTTTACAAGGAGTTTAGTTTGGAAAGCATTGGAAGCAAAGATGAGTAATATCATGCACTTTGGTGGATATTGGAGTCAAGTGGAGCATTATGGATACATTTAGAGTCCATGGGAGCCAAGGAGAAGCTAAGTTAATGGGAAAAACACTTCCAAGGAAGCCTAAGGGTGGTGCTTTCAATGGTCTTAGTCATTTGGGCAAACCAAAACAAAAGAGAAACAAAAGATCAATGCATTGCAATTCCCGACCTGCACGTCGACATCATAGTCTTTGGATCATATCTCGAGCTAAAAATATCCAATTGAAGTGATTATTGTGTCATTGGAAAGCTAACTTGAAGGGCTACAACTTTGATGAAGATCAAAAACACTAATTTAAAGGTTTTGAGGGTGAAAACTTGCCTAGAAGACGAACTCAGTGCACAGGCAGTGCACATTGCCTGTGGCCACGGGTCTGGCTACGGCCGTGGCCACACCCGTGGCCATTGGGCAGTGTGCCTTGCATTTATGGCCACGGGTGAAGCCACACCCGTGGCCAGCCCTCTGCAACTCATAACAGCCCATTTTTTGTCATTTAAAGTAGGATTTTTCACCCCAAAAACACATCTTTCACTTCCTTTCATTTCCTTAGCTTAGATTAGTCTAGTATTTCATCTCTAACTCATCTACAAAGCTTGTAATAATGGATTGGAGTGGGATTCAACCACAAATTTCTCATCTTCAATAGAGAAGCTTTTTCACTCTTCTTTTTAAGCTTTTGTGCAATGTTTATGATACTTTCTTGTGTTTTTGTGTTCTTTATGCTATTTAATCATGAGTAGTTAGCTTATGGACTTGAGTTAGGGTTGTATTTTCTATCTTGATGCTTGTTTTATGATTATTGCAAAAAAGGGGAAGAACTCCAACCTAGGGTTCATGTGTTTGTGAAGGTTTTGTATTTATATCTTATTAATGCTTGATGTACACATTCATTAGCTTGTTTTTGGAGGATTCCTTGCCTCAACGAGAGTTGGGTGATGAATCTAAGCCACCCCTTGCATAGACCCGATTTCTTCCTACGAAAATAGGGGAAATTGGAGGCTTTAGATGTTTTGTGTGCTTGATGGACTTGGAATTGATTCACCACGAAAGTGGAGCAATTCCTTGTTCTAATCCTTGTTTATTAATCACGAGAATGGTTCATAGACTAGGATACCTACGTGCATTCCCGCTTGATTCCTTGGTTACTTGTTCTCCCTAATCCCTTAGGTTGTTAAAGCATCTAGATGATAATACTCCCTAGCTTGAGTCCTATTTCTTTATTTTGTCTTTGTGTATATGTGTTAGTCTTATAATTTCCTTAAACTTGTAGTTTGCTTAGCTTCTTGTTGATTGCCTAGTGCTAGTGCCTAGTTTGTTGTGATTGCGTATTGCGTGCCATATCCCCCAATCCCCTGAGGATGACATAACACACCTGAGCTCACATCTTATTTTTGGCTACATCACTGGTAAAGTGTGCAAGCTGAAGATATCCTTGTATGGCCAAAACCAGTTTCCTCGTGCATGGTTTGGTAGGTTTAGTAGTGCCATAATCATGCTCGAGATGCAACAAAGTAAATATGATCATACTGTCTTCTTTAAACATACTGACTGTGGATGTGTTTCGTTAATTGTGTATGTTGATGACACAGTGATCACAAGCAGTGATACATAAAGTATTGGCGTATTGCGGCTCTTAATCTTTTCTCTAAGATGAGTTTTGTACTAAAGATCTAGGAGTGCTGAAGTATTTCTTGGGCATTAAAGTTACTCATTCCAAGAAGGGCATATTTTTCTCATAGAAGAAATATGTGTTAGACTTGGTTGCTGATATTGGGTTGCTGGGTTTGAAGTCATGTGAGACCCCATGGATCAAGGTGTGAGACTTGTTGCTGCTGTGGGGGATGTTCTTTGTGATCCATATAGGTATAGGCGGTTGGTAGGTAAACTCAATTATCTTACTAATACTCGTCCTGACATTGTTTTTCTAGTTAGTGTGGTGAGTCCGTTTATGAGTACCGTGACGCAAACTCATTGGGAGGTAATTGTTCGAATTGTAAAGTATTTAAAGAGTTCTCCTAGGAATAGAGTGTTATATGTCGATTGGTGACACATGAGTATGGAAACCTTTTCTAATGTTGACTAGGCTAGGTCACCTAGTGATAAGAGGTATACTACAGGGTACTATGTGTTTGTAGGTGGAAATTTGGTTTCTTCGAAGAGCAAGAAGCAAGGCATTGTAGCACGGTCCAGTGCAGGATCTGAATATAGGGCTATGGCTCATGTTGCTAGTGAGATAACTTGGGTGTAGAACTTTTTGGAAGAAGTTGATCTGGAGGTAAGGTTGCCACTGAAATTGTGGTGTGATAACAATGTTGCTTTAAATATTGTGAATAACTCGATCATTTATGAATGGACCAAGCATATTGAAGTAGATTGTCACTTTGTACGAGAAAAGGGGACGGAAGGGCTTACATATACTGGCTACATTTGAAGCTCTGAACAACTTGAAGAATTGTTAACAAAGGGGCTTGGAAGAAGTCGAGTGGAGTATATTTGTAACAAGCTGGTGATAAGTGATAGATATATACCTTATTATATGGGATCATTTGTTATTTTTGGTGCCTTATTGATGCCTTTTGTGTGTATATAATGTGGTAATTAGCTAGAAATTCATAAAGTTAAGCACAATGACTAATGGTGAGTGCATTTGGATATTTTTTGGGCTTTGGGGCTGAATTGGAAGCATTTGGACTATGTTTGGAGCTCAAATTGAAGAAGGTTCAATTCAAGATTGCCCCGTGTACGAGCTTTGCACGATTGTACTCTAGTCGTACGCGCACCAGCTGACCAACCCACGAAGGGAGTATGTGCGTACTGGCAGCGTAGTTGGATTCCAGAAGGTTTCAAGGATGCGCATATATACGCGCGTACGTGGGTCATGCAGGCACCGGAGAATTAAGTATATATTGAAGTTTGAAGGAGTTGAAAAGGTTTTTTTTTTTTTTTGTCACTTTTACTTCACTTTTGGCTACTGCACTTTATTGTACTCCAACTGTAGAGAGAGAATGCTCTCTAGGGTTCAAGAACAACTTGACAACTTGTCTTGGATTCTTGGAGATTTCTTCTTCCATTGATTGAAGCTTTGATTGTTGATTACAATTGTAATTGAGCTAAGTAAATTCCTAAATTTACACTTATTTTCATTCCATTGTTTCATCTCTATTTCTCAATTGTGGTTGTGATTCAACTTAGATCATGAGTGGCTAAACTTTCTTAGGGGATTGGATTAAGACTTGCTTGTGATGGTGCAACCATGATAAATACTGCAATTACGCAGTAGATATGTGCTAATTTTTATGGATTCATGTTGGAAGTGAATTTTTGTATGGGCTCCTATGTGGTTAGGGTCCAACCATGTAGGAGTCTAGGGGTTGTATAGTTGCCAAGAGATTGGGACTATACTATAGCCTACTCTAGCTACTTGCAATTCCCACCTTAGGCCGAGAGGCGGAGCTCGGAAAAAGATGTGGACTTAAAGTGTTTCATGAAATGTCTCAAGCTAGTAGTGGTAATATATAATTACTCGGGTAAGATTCTACTACTTTATAGGCCAAGGCGAGACCGGTATCGGCATTGACATTAGTAACATCTTCCGTGAATCCCAATTACACGCGCATAGCACACATCATACCTCAGATTCTACATTGCACCTAAACTAGGAAGGCTAGCTTAATCTAAGTCCCCTTTCCCTTTCTTGTTTCCTCAATTGTTTTATTGCTTACTTTGCTCACTTGCATTGCTCTTTAGTTCCTTGCTACTTTACAATTGCTCTCTTGCAAAAGCTTGCGATCTAGCTTCTTGTAGGTATTTGCACTCTTGTACTCAATCACACATTATTCAATTCACTCCCACGTGCCATCCTTTGAGAACGACATCCCGAGAAAGCTTCATCTTTCTCACATTTGTTTCCATCCACCATATACTACACACGTGTCAGCTGGGCATGATTGATATTTATCCCAATTAACTTGAGGGAGTGTTAGAGTTAGAGGAGGAGGTTGAAAGGATTACTCTCGGTCTTAGGTTTTCGAATTCAAAATATGTAATCCTAGCCTATTTTTAGTGTATATAAATACACTTTCTATGTAAAATTTGTTAGCATCCAGAAATAATACAGAACAGATTCACATTCAGAGTAGGGGCGTATGGGTGTTTACCTCTTTTTTGAATGAGATACCCTCGAAATCATGATGGATAGAGAACACAGTATATATCTTTGAGTAATCAAGGGCATGCCATGCAGTAACATATGGGTGGCGTCTACATTTTTTTATAATGAGATTTCCTCTAAGTTAGAATAGACAGGTAAGAGTATTACATGGAATTTTAATTTACATATTTTGACAACCCAATAGGGTAGCTCAAGTGGCAAATGAACTTTGTTTGTGGGAAAGAATTCTGGGATAATTTGGGTTCAATTCCCACAAGTAATTATCCTTTTAGGGTCAGCTTCTGTGCCTCTTGGAGCGAACCGAGTGGACCTGGACCGTTAAATGGGCCAGCTTCTGTGCCTCTTGGAGCGAACCGGGTGGACCTGGACCGTTAAACGGACAGAGAAAGACCCGGACCACCACAATGTGTGGTTGCCACCAAAAAAAACAAATTTACATATTCTGACATATCATATAATTCATGGAGATTAATAAGAATTGGTTTAAAGCATGACACTATAATATTGTATTGCGAAAGTTATTATTCCAGTACTATATTGGTGAAAGAAAGCTAGGTGAATCCGAATATGTCTGGTTAGATCATTATCATGATAAGTGAGATTGCCAGTAGCCTAATATTATCTCTTCTCCACTAAAATATTTACTTCCATGCATCTCTGTCGTCATCTTTATACTTCACCATGTTTCTACTTTATGCTCAGCTTTAATAGATGTTTAATTTGATTCCTCCATATCATAATATATATGAGACAGGATAATCCGTTCTAAGTTTAATCCCACCAAACTTTTGCATCCGAATTTAACTTTAACTAATCCCGAAAGCGGTAACCAAGTAAGTGACGAATAGCTAGATAGAGCATGATTCTTATATTTGAAAGTCACAAATTCGATTTTTACCAACACTTTTTCAGTCAAGCCCGACACACAAAATTTTTCTAGTATAATTTATCTCTTTTGTAATTGTAAATTATTACATAAGAGTAAGATTTAGTCAATATATACCCTCAATTGTTCAAATAATGGCTATAGATTTTTCTCTGCCAAAAAAAAAGAATTTAACTTTTAAGTATGATTGTAGTTGATAACGCCAAATGGAGAATATATAGTGGAAATTATCATAATGTAACTATTACATATACATTCTCAAATCTCCCTTGGCATGCAGTCCACTCACTTGGAATTTGGAAATCCAGTCTAGATATATATAGTCATAATATACTTAATCAGGCATATAATACGAATATAACATTTAAGAAACAGAACTGATTGATTTTTCAACCTTAATAGTCTTTAGATTAAGAGTTGGTTTTTTAATTCAGTTATATTCACATGCCGTTTACTAGTTGTTTGAATTGCTATGTTAATAGCTATCTTCATCTATTTAGGTTATTATTATTAACTTTGCTTAAGTAAATAATTAGTAGGAATTATTGCATATTTACTAGTTTAGCTTAAGCATATAATATTCGAAAATAAATTATAATTTAAATTATTCCTTATACTTTTTTAAATCCAAGGGTTGATGTGCTTTCAAATGATTCCAGAGCTATCCTCCAAGAAAAAAAAATGATTCCAGAGCTTAAGAGGTATATATGCGCGCAATTAAAATTCCATTTGTTTTTCAAAAAAAAAAAAAAAAAAAAAAATCCATTTGTTTGTAATGGTGGAGCCCAGAGGGAAGTAAGGGTTCGGAACGAAAATTTCTTATGTCATATAACATGCTGCTATTTTCCTCAGCCCAACTCTAAGGACTCTAAATACGAGTAGTTATGCTATGCATCCGTGCAGGGTGCATACGAATGCAAGAACGACGTCGTTTTATTAAAAACGCGCGTCTCCTTTTAAAAAAAAATAATTCAGGTTCGATTCCCAGCAACAGTATTATATATGTTGTTCATTCATTATGGAATTTTAGTTCATAGATTATGAAATTTTAGTTCATTAATTCTGGAATTATAGTTCATCGATTATGGAATTGTAGTTCATCGATTCTGAAATTTTAGTTCATAGATTCTGGAATTTTAGTTCATTCATTCTGGAATTTTTAGTTCATAGATTAAATTCTGGAATTTTAGTTCATAGATTCTGGAATTATAGTTCATTGATTCTGGAATTATAGTTCATCGATTTTGGAATTTTAGTTCATATGTTGTTGCTGGGAATCGAACCTGAATATTTTTTTTAAGGGGAGACGCGCGTTTTTTAATAAAACGACGTCGTTTTTGCATCCGTATGCACCATGCATGGTGCATACGGATGCACATCATAATTTGCCCTCTAAATACATACAAATTATTGTATGGGCCATGGTACACACAATGTTGTATGGACCATTACAAAAAGGACATTTTTAATATACTAAATGTACATTATTTTTGTACTGAATGTACATTATATAATATAATGTACACTCAATACACAAATAATGTACATCCCCAGAATACAATGTACATTATTTTTAGAGTTAATTCCACTTTTGGTCCTACATTTATTGCGCGATGGACACATTTTACCCGGTTTTATTAATTTAGCCACATTTTGCCCAACATTTTTAAAAGGTGGACACTTTTGGTCCACCGTTACATTTGTTATTAAACATCCGTGAAGTGGGAGGGCAATTATGTCATTTCTCGTGCTATTCTTCATCAGCCTTCAAGTTGCTTGGTCTCCATCTTCCAGTCAGACTCTCAGAGATAGGAGAGTTTTCGCGGACATGAAGACCATGGCCCTTTGTCGCCCTTCTCTTCATCTTGGTTCCATTTCTCATATCAGTTGTAATTCTTAAACTCCCAAAATCCTCGAAATTTCTTTTTACCACAAATTAAACAATAATATATAACAGCAGAGCAAAATGATTCGAGTCCAAAGGGAAATGGATATTCACAACAGCAGAGCAAAATGGTGGAAAATTACCTTGAGCAGCTGTAATATTGTTAAAAACCCCAGAAAAATTACCTTGAGCAGGCCTAAACCATTTCTGGCTTCTCTTTCGTACAGCCAAGCCAACGACCCTGGGTGGTTTCCCCACCGAATCTGCTTATGGCTCCGTCGCGATGGTGGACAGCATCGTGAAGATCCAGTATCTTGAACAATTTTTCCGCCGACCACCGGCTGATACTGATGGCCTCGGCGAAGTTAAAAAACTGGATAGCTGGACCTTTGATTGTCTCCATAAAGCAAGCATCGTCGGTAGCAGTGCCTAAACCCTCGAAAACTTGCTCGCATAGCTTTTTCTCGCTGGCGAACAGTACCCTAACGCACAATTTTGCAACCCGAATCCACCGTCGGATCTTCATTTCTAGAGTCTCCAACTTCAACCTTTGGATATCTTCGATGCTCAGCTTCTCTATCCCCAGCTTCCGGAAGCTCGCGTCTATGGAGGACTTCCGTACGACTGTGCCGATTGGGGTTTCGATCTCAATTGTTTCGGTTGACGGGTTGAGACCCGGGTAAGCATTCGACCCGCATGCAGACTTGATTCCGTGGAACAGCTCCTCCGAGAGGTCTAACGGGAAGGCGGCGTCGGAGGACTGCTCCGGGATGGCCGGGATCGTGGTCGGCGGTGATGGGTTGGGTAAGAATGTTTGGGTTTGAACCGTATTCTATAGCCTGGACAACTACTACCTGCAAAATTTTGTCATGAAGAAAAGAAGCTCTGGGTCTCTTACATGGACAACTACTACCTGCAAAATCCCTATTATGAAGAGGAGAAGCTTTGGGTCTCTTAACTAAACCGTATTCTGGGTTTGATAGATGATGGAGATCAAGAAACTTGAAGGCCGATGAAGAATAACACGTGAAAAGACACAATTGTCCTCCCTTTTCACGGCTCATTAACAGTAAATGTAACAGTGGACCAAAAGTGTCCACCTTTTAAAAAGGCTGGGCAAAATGTGGCTAAATTAATAAAATCGGACAAAATGTGTCCATCACGCAATAAATGTAGGACCAAAAGTGTAATTAACTCTTATTTTTATATTGAATGTACATTTTTTTTGTACTGAATGTACATTATTTTATAGTATACAAAATATGGTCCATACAACTTGTGTAGACCATGGCCCACACAATAATGACTGCTAAAACATAGCATGTGAGAGGATATAAATCAATGTAACTCAATGACTCAGCAGACAGAGCCAAATATTGGTGCGTATGAGGAATTTGCTCACTTTAAACATAATCATCACACTGCGACTGTCGAGTTTCGAACATTGATCTGTTTTGCTAAATACTGCCTGCTGAACTAGTGAGTTAAGCTCGTGCGGGCACATGCTACTATTTTCAACAAGGAATATGAAGGAGAATTTATCGTTTACCCCTAGCTAGCCCGAGAAGGGAAAGGTGGCATGATGTTGTAAGGTACATATTTGTAGTTCCATGGATAAGAACTAAAACTCTACAATATTATTCATGATAGGAATACACAGACTATTAATACAAGACCCCTGCTAGAAGAGTCCTTTTACTAGTATATCAATATATTCCTAATACTCCAATCGTTATACCCTGCACCACGGCACTGTGCGCCCTACGCCTCCCAAAACGACGTCATTTTGATAAGTTATGCAGGGAATTGACGCGATTATGTGCATTTGTTTATAAATTATGTGTATTTATTTATACAATTATGTGTATTTGTTTATACAATTATGTACATTTTTTATACAATCATGTATATCTTTTTTATACAATTATGTACATCCGAAACATAAAATTTATGTGTATTATATTAAGAGTTGATGTTTATTATGTTAAAGTTTATGTATATTATGTATTATATTAGATTATATGTATTATCTTTTTTTTAAAAAAAGTATGTGTATTTTGTGTTGGAAAAAATAGCTTAAAATGGCATAAAATGGCATGTTAAGTGGCTATATTGTGGTACAATTATCAGTGGGGTCCACTTCCGATTTGGATCGGGTCAAAGTGGATTCGGATTCTTCGTAGTGAGACGAAGATATCGATATATTGTACGCTCAAAACGGATAATGGGTGAATGAGATATTGATTCTCAAAGTAGACCCATTTGAGTTGGAAAATGAAAGGAAAAAGTGAGCTTTTGTCCCACATTGCTTTGGAATGAAGATTTTCCCCCCTTATATACAAGAGCTCTTTTGAATCATGTAGAATTGTATAGTATAGAGGCTCTCTCGCGCCGGAGGGGAGGGGGGGGGGGGGGGGGGGCAAATCAAATTCCAACTAGACGAGATTGAAAAAGGCTTGATTCAAGCCCGAGCTCGTGTGCGCCGGCACCTGGGTGCACGAATGTCGTCTGGAAATTTGCGGGCTAAGGTTATGCCAAACTTCGGTATCATTTTCCAACCGTATAGTCACTTGCCTCGGTCGAAACCGAGAGCACCACTCCCCTGCTACAAGATAGCACGAGAGGTTGTGGTGCACCGAGAGCACAACAGAGTCCACGAGAGGTGCATGGGCCGAAACTGTGGTCTCTGGCCAAAGAGGCCGAGACTAGACAAGGCACATGGCCGAAACTTCCAGTTTCGGCCTACACGAACCTGTACTGCTTTCTGTGACCGTTGGGTTTTCAATTCTTACTGTTACGAAATTAATTCCTTGAATTAATTCCAATCTTTAATTTTGAATTCAAACCCATGGTAATGGTGGCTGTTACCAGGTGTAGTGGGGGGTGCCTTAAAGTGCCCTATTAAGAGCTATTTAATCCTTCAACCCTATATAAGAGAGGGTAGAGGCAGCAGATTTTAGACACAGAAAAATTACACACGAAACATTGTTTTTCCAGCCTCAAAATTCTGCTTCTACTCCCTTTCTTTGCCTACTGTGTTCATAGCTTGGTATTGCTCGCCGGATTCCTTGTTTGAGTGCTCAAACATTGAATCACTAGCAAGTTTTATCCTGGGAAGCCTAGGCCACAACGCTCCTAGCATCTTTGGGAGGTGGCAAATAAGGTTTTAAGGAAAGAGTGCTCACTTGACTCTTGCAAAAACCCAACCCCAAACACTAGCCATTTTTGTTCATCTTTTCTTCCTTCTTTCCAGAAAATAATAGTCAATTTTTTATTTGATTATTATTGGTTTACTACCAACGGTTCCTATCCTTCCAAGTGGGATCTGTGATCCATTTGTTGCCTCCAGGTTGGAAGGACTTCAAGAACTACCTTAAGCATAAGCGAAAGGAGATGAATCTGGAGGACCTGATCCAGCGACTCAGGATTGAGGAAGGGAACAGGACGAATGATAGGAAAGTTCCTATTGTTGTTGGCGCTAAGGCCAACGTTGTGGAGCACGGTAGGAGCTCCAAGAGGAACCAGAAGGACAAGCGAAAGCTAGGTCCGAAAGGTGGCGTTACCAAGAACAAGTTTCCTGGTGAATGCTAAAATTGTGGCAAGCATGGCCATAGAGCATCTGAATGCAAGGCTCCAAGGAAGAAGAACAAGAGTTCTGAAGCCAATGTTGTTGGAGATAGCAGTCAGAAGGAGGTCGAGATTAGCCTTTCGGCTATGGTGACCGAGGTGAACCTCGTGGGCTCAAACCCTCGTGAATGGTTCATTGATACCGGTGCAACCAGGCACTTGTGTTGCAACCGAGAGATGTTGAACACCTTTGAGACCGTTGAGGGTGAAAAGGTGTGGATGGGAAACTCTGCTCAGTCTGCTGTGGAAGGCATGGGCAAGGTGGTTCTGAAGATGACTTCCGGGAAGGAACTGACGCTGAACAACGTGTTGTATGTTCCTGAGCTGAGGAAGAATCTTGTGTCTGGCTCTCTGTTGAACAAGCATGGCTTTCGCATGGTGTTCGAGTCAGACAAAGTAGTTTTGTCCAAATTAGGGATGTTTGTTGGTAAAGGGTATGTAACTGATGGGCTGTTTAAGCTCAGTGTAATTCCTGTTATCAATAAAAGCAAAGTTAATTTTGTTTACTTGCTTGAGTCTTCCAATTTATGGCATGGTAGACTAGGTCATGTTAACTTTAATTCTATGCGTAGATAAATTAGCATGGACCATATTCCTAACTTTAAAATTGACACAAATAACAAGTGTGAAATTTGTGTTGAGGCAAAACTAACGAAAGTACCTTTCAAATCGGTTGAAAGGGAAACTGTACCACTAGAATTAATCCATAGTGATTTGTGCGATTTTAGATCGATACAAACAAGAGGTGGTAATAAGTATTTTATCACATTTATTGACGATAGCACACGATACTGCTATATGTATTTGCTTAAGAGCAAAGATGAAGCCGTTGATAAATTCGTTCTTTATAAGAATGAAGTAGAAAACCAACTTAATCGGAGGATTAAGAAGGTTAGAAGCGATCGAGGTAGTGAGTACGAAGCACCTATTGGTGACTTCTGTGCGAGTGTAGGTATAATACACGAGCGTACTGCACCTTACTCACCTCAATCGAATGGTGTTGCCGAACGAAAGAATCGTACATTGAAAGATATGATGAATGCGATGCTTATAAGTTCGGGCCTACCTCAAGATGCTTGGGGTGAGGCGATTTTGACAAGTAACTACCTTTTGAATAAGGTACCCCGAAAGAAGCTCGATAAGACTCCTTATGAGCTGTGGAACAGTAGGAAACCTTCCTACCAGTACCTGAAAGTGTGGGGGTGTCTTGCCAAAGTATTGGTGCCAACACCTAAGAAAGTAAAGATAGGTCCTAAAACGGTGGACTGTATCTTTATTGGCTATGCACATAATAGTAGTGCTTATCGGTTCTTAGTACACGAGTCCCATAATCCGGACGTACACGAGAACACGATAATAGAATCAAGGAAGGCATATTTCTTCGAAAATATATTTCCTTGTAGGTCCAACGGGGGACCGAGTACGTCAAAACGAACGTTTGACGAAACTATGGATAATGATAGTGGGGAATCCGAGAGAGAACCCGAGCTCGAGCCGAGACGCAGTAAGCGGGCGAGAGTTGGAAAATCATTCGATCCTGATTTTCTAACTTACTTGTTAGAGTACGATTCGGGTACTCTAACTTGTTTATTAGAAAATGAACCCGATTTTCTATCTTGTTTGATAGAGAACGAGCCTCGAACGTATGTAGAAGCTGTGACTTCTACGGAAGGACCAATGTGGAAAGAGGCTATAAAAAGTGAAGTGGATTCTATCCTACAGAATCACACTTGGGAACTCGTTGATCTTCCTCCGGGTAGTAAACCCTTAGGATCCAAGTGGGTCTTTAAAAGGAAGATGAAACCGGACGGTTCCATCGAGAAGTATAAGGCTAGGCTTGTAATCAAGGGTTACAGGCAACGCGAGGGCCTCGATTACTTCGACACTTATTCTCCCGTGACGAGAATAAACTCCATAAGGATGATACTTGCCATAGCCGCGCTGCGGAACCTGGAAGTTCATCAAATGGACGTTAAGACCGCTTTCCTAAATGGCGAATTAGATGAGGAAATCTACATGGAACAACCCGAAGGGTTCGTGGTTCCGGGCCAAGAAAGGAAAGTGTGCAAGTTGGTTAAATCGCTATATGGTTTGAAACAAGCGCCCAAGCAGTGGCACGAGAAGTTTGACCATGCGATGTTAACTAACGGGTTTAAAATAAACGAAAGTGACAAATGTGTCTACGTTAAGGAGACGATAGACGGCTACGTCATTCTTTGCTTATATGTCGATGATATTCTCATCGTTGGTAGTAATGATCGGATGATCAAGTCTACCAAAAACATGTTAAATGCGAGATTTGACATGAAAGATATGGATTTGGCCGATTTAATCCTCGGGATTAGAATCATTAGAAGACCTGATGGTCTCGTGTTGGGCCAATCACATTATATTGACAAAATCCTTGAGAAATTTAACAAGGATGATAGTCAAGTGGCTAGGACACCATTTGATAAAAATGTTCATCTAACCAAGAACCACGGAGAAGGTATTTCACAAGTGGAATATGCTCGGGTTATTGGTAGTTTGATGTATCTTATGAGCTGTACTAGGCCGGATATTGCCTATGCGGTTAGTAAACTCAGTAGATATACGAGTAACCCCGGTGCTATGCACTAGAAGGCAATAGTAAAGGTTATGAGATACTTGAGGTATACTCGTGATTTTGGACTGCACTACGGGAGATATCCCGCTGTACTTGAAGGGTATAGCGACGCGAATTGGATATCTGATATTAAGGACTCTAAGTCCACGAGTGGCTACGTGTTTACACTAGCCGGTGCAGCCGTTGCATGGAAATCGTCTAAGCAAACTGTGATAGCTAGATCCACGATGGAATCTGAGCTAATAGCCTTGGACAAAGGTTGTGAAGAGGCTGAATGGCTACGCCATTTTATAGAGGATATTCCTAATTGGGAAAGACCGGTACCTCCAATATGTGTGCATTGCGATAGTCAAGCCACAATTGGGAGAGTACAGAGTCATATGTATAATGGTAAGTCTAGACACGTGCGTCGTAGACATAATACCATTAGACAACTGCTCACAACTGGTGTTGTCTCGATTGACTACGTAAAGTCAAAAGACAACATAGCGGATCCGCTGACCAAAGGGTTAGGAAGAGAAGTTGTGGAGAAGTTGACACGAGGAATGGGTCTAATGCCCTTGGACTAAAAAGTTCTATAGTGGATACCCAACCTAGCTGGCACCTAGGTTCAACGGGACAACTAAATTATGGAACGGAGCGCGTCACTGTGGGGGTCTCGGACTCCCTACCACTCCTCGTTAAAACAGTGACTCCCGTACGAGGCTAGCATGTTAATGCTTTAATGATTCTTGAGTATGCGGGAAACTCGAGAAAGAATCACCTATGTTAGAGAGAAGTGAGGGTCGCTTCAAAGGAGAATTGTTGGGCAACAATTCTTTAGAAACTCTCGCAGAACCAGGAACGGTGACCCACGACCAAAACGGGCACACTCGTGAGAGCAAGAGCATGGTTGGGAGATTTCTGTGTGAGATATGTCATCGTCTACACAAACGGCAGTCGGTTCAAAAACATCGCGTTCTACCGTACAGCCAGCAGAGTAAACATGTCTTCACGAGGGAAGGTTCAAAGGGTATAGTGACTCCCTACTTATCCTATGCAGGGATCGACCGTTTGAACACAGTTGTTTCCGATTTCAAAATACCCCGAAAATCAATTTTTCATTCATGTGGGGGATTGTTGGAAAAAATAGCTTGAAATGGCATGTTAAGTGGCTATTTTGTGGTATAATTATCAGTGGGGTCCACTTCCGATTTGGGTCGGGTCAAAGTGGATTCGGATTCTTCGTAGTGAGACGAAGAGATCGATATATTATACGCTCAAAACGGATAATGGGTGAATGAGATATTGATTCTCAAAGTAGACCCATTTGAGTTGGAAAATGAAGGGAAAAAGTGAGCTTTTGTCCCACATTGCTTTGGAATGAAGATTTTCCCCCCTTATATACAAGAGCTCTTTTGAAGCTTGTAGAATTGTATAGCATAGAGGCTCTCTCGCGCGGGGGGGGGGGGGGGGGGGGGGGGGGGGGATGCAAATCAAATTCCAACTAGACGAGATTGAAAAAGGCTTGATTCAAGATAGCACGAGAGGTTGTGGTGCACCGAGAGCACAACAGATCCACGAGAGGTGCATGGGCCGAAACTGTGGTCTCGGGCCAAAGAGGCCGAGACTAGACAAGGCACATGGCCGAAACCTCCAGTTTCGGCCTACACGAACCTGTACTGCTTTCTGTGACCGTTGGGTTTTCAATTCTTACTGTTACGGAATTAATTCCTTGAATTAATTCCAATCTTTAATTTTGAATTCAAACCCATGGTAATGGTGGCTGTTACCAGGTGTAGTGGAGGGTGCCTTAAAGTGCCCTATTAAGAGCTATTTAATCCTTCAACCCTATATAAGAGAGGGTAGAGGCAGCAGATTTTAGACACAGAAAAATTACACACGAAACATTGTTTTTCCAGCCTCAAAATTCTGCTTCTACTCCCTTTCTTTGCCTACTGTGTTCATAGCTTGATCTTGCTCGCCGGATTCCTTGTTTGAGTGCTCAAACATTGAATCACTAGCAAGTTTTATCCTGGGAAGCCTAGGCCACAACGCTCCTAGCATCTTTGGGAGGTGGCAAATAAGGTTTTAAGGAAAGAGTGCTCACTTGACTCTTGCAAAAACCCAACCCCAAACACTAGCCATTTTTGTTCATCTTTTCTTCATTCTTTCCAGAAAATAATAGTCAATTTTTTATTTGATTATTATTGGTTTACTACCAACGGTTCCTACATTTTGTTATACAATTATGTACATTCATGTATACAATTATGTGTATTCTAGTATAAAATTATGTACATTTTTGAACCTGAGATTTTTTTAAAAAGAAAATTAACCGCCAACACTGGGTAGCGAAATTTCAAAAAAAAAAAAAAAAATATGAACAACGTCGTTTTGCATCAGGGCGCACAATGCAATGCGCGCCCTGGTGCAGGATATAAATTGCCCTAATACTCGCCCCCAAGCTCAACAATGGTGATGGACAACATTGAGCTTGTCGTGTAGAAATTCAAATAGGGAGCTAGCCAACGGTTTGATGAAAATGTCAGCAAGTTGATTCATAGTAGAAATGAAGTTAACTTGGAGTTCCCCCTTAGCAACCTTATCATGAACAAAATGATAGTCAATTTTTACATGTTTTATACGTGCATGAAAGAAGGGACTAGCACACAGATACGTCGCTCCCAAGATATCACACCATAGCTTAGGAGGAGCTCTAACAAGCATACCAAGCTCCTGTAGCAAAGAAACCAACCACGTGACCTCAGTAGACACATCGACCAAGGCCTTGTACTCAGTGTTGGTCTCAATGAGTAGGGGTTCAAGTCTAGAGAGGAGGGTGAAAGTACTTGAACAATTTTTGAAAACTTTTCTAAATAATGCAGTGGAAAATAATTGTTACCCATTCTTAAGTTTGTTTTCACGTATTTGCTCTTGCAAATTTTTTGTTTACCTATTTATTGTTAAAGTAGCGGATATCAGGTTATTTAAAAAAAATTATTTTAATAAAATTAAGTAAATAAATAAAGTTAAAGATATTTGTTTAAATAAATAAATAAAATTACCAAAAATATTTTTTGTTACGAATAAATAAATAAATAAATAAGCCTTCGTCCAACGAAGAAAGCTTCTGTCTCCTGCCGGGACAAGAGGCTGAAGTCGTTGGTTTGGGAGCTAGGCAGGTGGTTCTGTAAAGCAAAGAGACTTCGACTTGGCAATGAAGACTACACAAGAGTTGTTTCCAGATGCATATCAGTACTTGGCAAAAATCCCACCAGAATACTAGGCGTTGTTAGAGCATCTCCAACCCATTTACACCAAATTTCTATACTAAAATAATTTGATTGCTCAATTATTAGTTCGAATTTAATTAGTTTAATATAATTTACTTCAAACTCAATTAGTTTAATATAAAATATAACTTGTGATATAAATAATAATTTTTATTAACATTATTTAATTTTTTTATAACATAAATTATTTTTAAAAAAATTAATTCCACAATATTTTTGAAAATTGTGTTGTATATTCTAATATCAATATTATGTCGTATGTATTTTAATTTCATTATGTTCTAGTTATGTTTGATGTATTTGAAATTTTAATTAATATATATTCAATATTAGTCTTGTTTCGATCGTCTCAATGAGATATATATTTAAAATGGTATAATTTATATTTTTTTTTGAATGCTACTAACTCTATTACAATGTACTCAAAGAGCCAATAACACCTCCACTAAGGCTAATGCAACCTCCCAAATGAATGTCCAACCCGGGTACCATTAGACCACAAGATCTTGGTCAATTTATATTTAATAATACAAACTTTAAATATAAGTATTTAACAAAATAAAAAATTACATATAAAACAAATAAATGATACATTTGGAATTACAAAAGAAGGGAAAAATAGTAAAAAAAAAAAAAAAAACTTTTAAAAAAAGAATGTGAAAAGTTTATGGCATTTTTTGTTAAAGCATCAAAAAAATAGAAAAAAGTAGTGTAATTACCTTCTTTTCAAATAGGATTTTGAAAAGAAGGTAATGACATTAGTACTTTACATATTTTTGTGTACATTGCCTTTGTTTGGTCTGATCTTTTGGTAGTTGAGAGGGTTGAATTGCACAAAATTTTGACTGTAAGCAATGAGAATATCAATCATCTACGTAATCTAATAAGAAATGAAAGTGACTAATTGGACATAATAAAGATGGGTCTATGTGGGTCACTATTCTTAAAAGTTCTAATTTCTCCCGAATCTCTTCTAAAATCTTCACCAAAACGAATGTTATCCATCAAGGAATTTTACCATTAAAGTCATGTATTATATCACAATCATCTTTTTCCAAGATTTCCTCCAAAGGCCATCTTCAAGGTGCACCTTGCATAAAATAATGTACATGCATGCACGTTCCTGACGGAATTGGGATCGGATTAAAGATGCATACTGAGAAATTTATTAATCACCAAATTTATTACATAGAGGAGGAGAACAAGTTCCTCAGAACTACACAATGATGAACATATATATAAAATAATTGCCCTACCACAACTCAACCAGACTTGCTCATAGGACATTTTATTAAATTAAATACACAACATGTTTGATTAAGATTTAACTAGTTATAGTGGTATAGGGTCCACGACTAATGCAATAATGTGAGGTTTCAAAACATTTTCAGGATGAGTATATCCGTCTTGGTTGTGCTGGTATGTGACAAAAACAATGCGAGCAAGATTCACGATGCGTAAGAAAATCTCTGCAGAAACAGGTGTGGGTTTAATGAGTCCTTCATTCAAATCCTTCAAGCCAAGTTCAGCCAATTCTTGAAACTTTTCCATTGCCTTTTCTTGTGATACGCCATACTCCTTCATATAGCACTCAATGCCTGTTGTAACTTGCCCTCTATCTTTCTCAACCTATCAAAATAGAATCAATAATAATAATAATAAGTTAATATTAAGCTATCCTACATCAAAATTAAAGGAATTTAATTTGTTTGATCTATCTTTAAAATATAGACAAATTGATTAATCTATAAGCTTACATCAAAGGTGGCTATGTCGTCAATGACTCTGCATAATGTAACACTTGCTTCAAGAATTTTAGGGTTTTGCATTAACCAATCAAATACTTTGTCATCAGCAGACTTCAAGCCATAGCAAGATATTGTGGCCAGCAAATAGTAAGTGCAGCTAACGAATGCATTTCTAAGGTATTCAGCAAACAAAGGCTGGTGTCCTCCAATGAACCACTTCGCTTCAATAAAGTAGCATCTCACAAGTTCCTTCATCTATTTATAATTTAATAGATTAATTTATATAGATTTGATCAAACCAAATAAGACATCATATAACAAATTTACTATTCTTACGTACTCTTTCCATTGCATGTTGGACGGCATATGATCTTCCTTCTTTAGAGAGATTCTTGTCATCTTCATCAAAAAGTTCTAACAGAGCTTTATAGCTAATTTTCATATAGTTTGGCAGCCGATCAATTTCACTAATGTCCCACCTAATTAAAGGCCAGAAAAAAAGGGTAAACTTAATTAGAGAAATGAAACCGAGATACATATATATATATATATATATATATATATATATACATTAGTATACTTTTGTTGTATACTATACCTTTGTATGACATCTGTGTATACATCTAATTCTTCTAAGGTACCATAAGCATCGTACGTGTCATCTAAAATCGAAACAATCGAAATATTTTTGGCAGGCATGACACGAGCCTTAGAATACTGAGGCTCAAAATATACTCCCAGTGCCCAAAAATAGCATTCAACTGCTCTATCCCTTGCATAAGGAAGTGTTGTGGCAAAGTCCAACTCTTTCCACCACCTACACACATGCATGCTTGTTAAACAATATAATATAATTCAACAAAATGTGTATATATATAATATAATATAAATTGTTAGTGTAACAAACCTTGATATTTCACTGAGCTCTTGCTTGTGCAACATCTGCAGCAAATTGAAATCCAATTTGGCAAAGCGCAGCAGCACATCGTTCCTGGACGAGTCCTCTTCTTCTTGGTACACCGAAATGAAAAAGCGCGTTTCGATTCTGGGCATGCCGGTGTGCAATGGCTGATCTAGGGCATGCGTCACCAGCTTTTTTAAAGTGCTGTTGGGTTCCAGAAGTGGTGCTGCAGATCGGAGACGAGTCGCCGCAAAAGCAACCACGCCTTCTAAAATCTCATCACCGTGTGTTCTCACGTACGAAGCTTCGTACAAGCTCAGCAGACCCTTCATATCACTGGTGTCTCTGAACTTGCCATTACTGTCAACAAAGTCGCTGAAAATATCTGCATGCATTAATTAGTTAATTTGGTGATAATCGAAGTTATAATATAATATATATAATTAATAAATTACCAGTAGAAATGTTGTAACCATGTTGCCTTAGCAATCGAAATTGAAGAGCAACAGTTTCCAAATCATCATGCGAGTGCGGGTGGTGGGTATAAATATGTTGGAGTTGATCATCAATCTCTTTCTCAAAGTGATATGCTATTCCAAGGCGTTCCAGCAGGTTGATGAATTTTAATTTCTCCGCCACATTACTGCTTCCTGAAGCAATCTGCAGTGTAGCCCTTATTTGTTCCTTCAAAATTTCAATCTCTTTTGCATATGCTTCAGCAACCTGCAAGTATATAATAAGATGATCGAATTAAATTAGAAACGTGTGGTCTAGTGGCACGAAGTGGCTCTTCCAAATGAGAGGTTATGAGTTCGCTTCTAATGGAGGTAGTATTGATTCTTTGTGCTTTAATAGGTTGAGCTAGCTAGAAAGTAGTTATAAACAGATATTACATTGTAACAGAGTCAGTAGTACTCAAAAATATAATAATAATAATAATAATAATAATAAGAGTTAATCAACGATTTGGTCCCTAAATTATTAGCGAATTGTCAATGTAGTCCCGCAATCGCTTATTCATCGATTTGGTCCCCCGAAATAATTATTTTTAGTCGATTTAGTCCCTCCAGCCATCGATTTAGTCCCTCCAGATTGTTGACTGAAGACGGCCGGAGGGACTAAATCGACTAAAAATAATTATTTTCGGGGACCAAATCGATGAATAAGCAATTGAGGGACTACATTGACAGTTCGCTAATAATTGAGGGACCAAATCATTGATTAACTCTAATAATAATAATAACTAGCTCTGCCATGCACACGTACTAAATAAATAATATATATATATATATATATATATATATATATATATATATATATACCTGATTGTCGATTGAGAAAGAATGGAATCGATCACCCCATAAACTGGGAGAGAAGTTGACGAGAGGGCGTACGATATTGTTTTCCATTATATTGCAAGCGGGAGTAGAGATCAACTATATATCAACTCCGTATATGAGGTTAGGTTGCGACTTGCGATGAAGAAATGAAGGGCAAGGCAACAGTATTTATACCCATCATCAAACGTGATAAACGTCGGACAATAATCCAAATTTATTGTCCTATGTACCGCCGCCGCCAATAAGTTCAAATTTTATTTGTTTTCTTACAACATCCCAATAATTGTTATTTTTGTGAAGTTTTTACAAATGTAATTAAAAAAAGAGAAAAAGATCAAATAAGTCCCTGAACATTTCGCAAAAGGTCAATTAGGCTAAGAACTTTTTAAAAGTGCAATTGAACACATGAACTCATCTTTATATATGTGGAGTCAAATTAATTATAATTGAGATTTAAATGAATATATACATAAATTTTATTAGATATAAAACTTTACCAATAAATTTGAACACAATAAATTTTTTTCCATACTTCATTATGCTTTAATATATATATAGAGATAGAGATACAGATTGAGCTATAATAATAAAACTAGTATTTTACCCGTGCGATGCACGATATGAAAATTTAAGTATAAATGTTATGGTCTCATATCAATCGAGTCAAAAAGTTAATTAGTAATAAAAAAAAAAAGTTAATTCCACTGGAGGTCCCTTGTCTTTGGTGGCAATTTCAAATTTAGTCCCAGACTATCGTTTTTGTCATTTTACATCACAGACTATCGGTTTTTGGACACTTTTAGTCCTTCTCATGATTTTTTATATTTTTAGTAAGGGCATTTTTGTCTCTTCATATTTTTCTTTTGTTATTTTTCTGATTTCAACCAGTTTAATTGGTTTAGGACTTTAGCTAACTTCTGATTTTTAGTAACCATATTTTTCAACCAATTTTTAGTAAAGTCCTAAACCAATTAAACTGGTTGAAACCGGAAAAATAACAAACAAAAAAAAAAAAAAATATGAAGAGACAAAAATGCCCTTACTAAAAATAGAAAAAAATCATGAGAAGGACTAAAAGGTCTAAAAAATGATAGGCTGGGATGTAAAATGACAAAAACGATAGTCTGGGAATAAATTTGAAATTGCCACAAAGACAAGGGACTTCAAGTGGAATTAACTCATAAACAAACTAATCAAATTACAAATTATTAAAAACAATATTAAAATACTAATCAAAATTACAAATTATTAAAAGTTAGTACATATCTTAAAATCAAAGTCTTTATTCATCTTGCAAAAAATCGGCCCAAAACCAAAAAAACAAAACAAAACCAACCCAACTAACTAACCCTAGAAGCATTACTATTGCGCAGCTCCAAATTATATTGTGCATCGCGGTGCATAATCGATTATGCACCGCGCATCAAAACGACGTTGTTTTGTTAAATGAAAAGAAACGACATTTGTTTTCCGCCGTTCCGCACCTTTCCGCAAAAAGTAACCCTATTATTCAGTTTAATTTTGTATACACTACAGTTTCAGTTCAACACAACTACCGTTTCATTTCGATATAACTACAGTTTCATTCGATATTTATAGACTCAAATATGTGAAAATGTTATTTAATTTTATTTTATATACACTATAGTTTTATTAAAACACAACTACATGATCATTTTGATATAATTACAGCTTCATTGTACAATATACACTCAAATATGTGAAATGTTATTCAGTTATATTTTATATACACTGCAGTTTTATTTCACCACGACTACAGTATCATTTTGATATAACTGCAGTTTCATTTGATAATATAAAATAGAGTTAATTCCACTTTTGGTCCTAGACTTATTAGGAGTTGGACAATTTTCATCCTCCATAATAAAATTTACCATTTAGTAGCCACTGTTATTAGTCGTTGGACACTTTTGGTCCTCCGTCGGTGAAACCGTCTATTGACCGTGAAATTGAAGGGTAAATTTGTCTTTTTATGTGGTGTTCTTTGTAACGGAGCAAGGAGGAGATATGGGTTCAATGAGGAATTTGAAGAGGAAATTCCAATGGAGTTGTCGGGGAAATTCAAAGAGGAGATATGGGTTCAGGGGCTCTTCTATAACTCCGACGCCACTAAATTGTCACACTTGCTCAAGAAATATAATGGGAAATCATCAAGATCTTCAATGGAGTTGGAATTCCGGGAAGAGCCGTCGGATGGGTCGTTTCTCTTGAGAAATGCCTTTTCTCCCTATTCATTCTCGCCGGAATCGTAAACCCAAAACGAGAGCTTTGGAAACTCACCAGAGACTAAAACCAATTTGTAGGAGTTTGTAGCGGAAGCCATGGCAATGGCCTGGAGAGGGCTTTGTTCGGACTCCGGCGAGGGAACCTTGCGGTAAAATCCGGTGACCGGATTCAAAACCCAGGAAGCCATCTGATTCGCTATGGAAACAGAAGAGTTCATCGGAGGCTGCAACAGGCACAAAATTGCCGCATGAATCGTCGTCCTCAGGTTCTTCATCTTCTAATCCTTTTATTTCTCCATTTTAGTGGGTGTTTTCATAGACAAGAAGAACAGAGTCCGGAGGCCTCAAGTCCAGGATTCGAAGTAATTAACAATGAAATTGCAATAACAAAAAGCTGAAAATTTGAATTAGACTGATTGATAGTCAAAAAGCAAAATTTTCTTCCCATTACTGTCAATTTCCATGTTTGAGACCATGGGCAGAGTCGGATGTGGTGCTCAACTATCACCTTCTCAGATTACTTCACAAATGCCCACCAAAAACCCAGTAGATCCATGGGATTCAATTCATTTTCAAACTTGATAATGGGAGCTTCTCCTTCAAGTTTTGAATCAGGACTTCTTTAGCTTTCACTTCTCGCTTCAAGTCATCCACAACTGCCTCATACAGCGCCACCACTTCCCCTAATATCATCTCCATATCTATGATCCTCTATTTATGTTAGATTTCAGTAAATAAAAATAAAAGGGAATAGGGACAACGGTGGAGTAGGTGGGGCGGTGGGGATGATTGAGGGCATAGAGCCAGCGGACTAAAAGGATTAGAAGAACACAACATAAAAAGACGGTTTTTCCCTTCAAATTAACAGTCAACAGACGGTTCCATTGAAGGAGGACCAAAAATGTCCAACGACCAATAATAGTGGCTACTAAATGACAAATTTTATTATGGAGGATGAAAATTGTCTAACCCCTAATAAGTCTAGGACCAAAAGTGGAATTAACTCTATAAAAATAATACGTGAGGCAATGTCGGCTTAGATGTATTGTAGTGTCAGTTGGTGTTTAATACATCAAACATGCGGACTCCGTTAAAGGTAACAGCGGGCCGTTTCTTTACTTAAAGAAACGACGCCGTTTTTTACCGCGGTGCATGTGCACCACGGTCTACGATATAACGACTGTCCCTAACCCTAATCCATTACTATTGCACAGCTTCTCACTCAAATACACTTGCGGATAATCTCTCTATGTTTTCTTCTTTCTGCGGCATTCCACGCTCCTTCGGCTATCTGTTAATTGAGTGTGAACTATTAACCCAAAAGATATCTATATATCACTAACCATGCTTAAATACTGATTCTTTTTAGAAAAAAAAAAAAAATCCAACAATCAGATGGAATAATTTAATAAATTATAACTTAAAACTAAAAAATTCTGAACTTGTATAAATATAAAACTAAGAAATTTTAAATATTTATAACCATAAAACTAAAAAAAAAAAAAAAAAAGGGATGAAATAATTACATAAATTATAACTTATATAAATATAAAATTTTAAAATAAATCAAAAAAAATGTTGTAGCTAAACCCAGCTAATTTATCAAACATAACAATCAGCTTAATTATTCAACACATTTATTTAAAAATCGTTATACCTTGCACATAGCACTGTGCGCCCCGCGCCCCCCAAAACGACGTCAATTTGAGAGGCGCGGTAGGGAGTTGACGTGATTATGTGTATTTGTTTATAAATTATGTGTATTCGTTTATACAATTATGTGTATTTTTTATACAATTATGTACATTTTTTATACAATCATGTACATCTTTTTTTTATACAATTATGTACATCCGAAGCAGGAAATTTATGTGTATTATGTTAAGAGTTGATGTTTATTATGTTAAAAGTTTATGTATATTATGTATTATGTTAGATTATATGTATTATCTTTAAAAAAATGTGTATTTTGTTATACAATTATATACATTCATGTATACAATTATGTGTATTACGGTATAAAATTATGTACATTTTTTAATATGAGATTTTTTTAAAGAAAATTAACCACCAACACAGGGTAGCGAAATTTTAAAAAAAGAAAAAATGAAATGACGTCGTTTTGCATCAGGGCGCACAATGCAATGTGCGCCCTAGTGCAGGATATAATGCCTTTATTTAATTTTTAAATTCAAAATCCTTATTCATATTGTCAAAAATCAACCCAAAACCAAAAAACAAAACAAAACCCAGCCCAAATATCAAACCCTAGACCCAACCCTTTATACATCAGTTGTTATGCCATGGAACCGTGTTCACCATGGTTGGTGAACACGGTTCCATACGACGCCGTTTTGAGTGAGTGGGACTAACGGTGCCCGTAAGTGGCACCGTTAACTCCCACCACTCATATTTTTTTTTATTTTTTTTTTTAAATTAAACGCGCCAATAGCGTTTGCAGTTCCCACTACACCATTTCACTTCCTCTCCACACAACGTCCATCACTCTGCTCTCTGAACTCCACTCTCGAGCTCTCTTCTCTCACTTCGTCTTCCACAGCCATTTCCTTCGATCACTCTCAAACACTCTGCTCCACAGCCATTCCTCTCTGCTCTCGCATTTCTCGTTCTCGCATTTCTCATTCTCGCATCTCTCGAACAAAACTTCGCGTTCTCCCATAGCTATCAAAGGAGACAGCCTCTCCATCGCTCATTCTCAACGTTGCTTCACTTGTCTTACAGGTATTTTGTATATGGTGTGTTTATGATTTAGGGTTTTTGTATTCCGTGTACATATTTTGAAATTTTAAAATGGGGTTTTGAATATAATGTTATGAGCTTATGAATGTATATCTGTAGCATTATATATGTGTAG